GTAGGTCATCTTGATAGTTTCACAGTCCATGGATCTTTTCTTCGTCACCAAATCTTTCATGAATTTAGCATAGCCAGGTATTTGCTCTAAAGCCTCCACCAAAGGCACATTAATGGATAAGCTCTTCATCATGTCAATGAACTTTTTGAACCGATTCTCATTTTTCTGCTTGGCTAGCCTCTGAGGATAAGGGGGAGGTGGCCTAGGCAAGGGTGCCTTGGCTTTTGGCATAACCGGCTCTGGTATGTCAATTACGTGTTCCCTAGAGGGGTTCACGTCATTTTGTGTTTCCACCTCAGCATCTTGAATATCAATCCTCACTTCTTGTTTTACATTTTCATCAACCACATTCTCAACGATCAAAGGAAATTCATCTTCGGCAACTCAACTTCATCACCCAAAACTTGCTTTTGTTTGGAGGCATTCACATCACCGCCTCCTCCACTCCTAGTAGTTACCGCCATAACATGATTGTTACCACCCTTTGGGTTAACTACCTATCACTCGGTAGAGCCCCTTTAGGGCGAGTATTCAAAGACTGTGAGATTTGGCCTAGCTGGACCTCCAAATTCCTGATTGATGTGTTGTGAGAAGCCAATTGCGCATCAGAGTCAGCATTCTTTTTCATCATCTGTTCAAACATCATCTCAATTCTACCCATTTTATTATTGGAAGAACAGGGACCCTGGGATGGAAAAGGCGGTAGGTTGCTCGGTTGTTGGTACATTGGGGGCCTTTGAAAGCCTTGCCCCTGATTTCCTTGGTTATTGTTCCATCCACCCTGGTTGTTGTTGTTTCCACGTTGTTGTTGTTGCCCCAGTTTCCCTGATTGTTCCGATTGTTATTTTGATTTCCCCAATTGGTGTTCCCTTGTTGTTGATTGTTCCAATTATTGTTGCCTTGTTGCCCTGGATCTCCATTGTTGTTGTTGTTTAGAAGAATTGCCTCTTTGGCCTTGATAATTATTCACATATTGCACCTCTTCATTCTGCCCATCATAACAATCATCTTGGAATCCACCACAATTATTGTCAAATTGATCCGAATTCCCTTGGTTCTGTTAACCTCTCTGTCTTCTATTGTTCACATGCATGTTGAAACCCTCCATGGCATTTACTTGGCGAGGATTCTGAACTTGTTGCAACTGTGCCTTTGCTAATTGGTTCATTGTTGTTGTAAGTTCTGCTATAGCCTGTCCATGGTCATGTACTTCTTTGTGCAAATGAGTGACCGTGGGGTCACCCTGTGGCACATTGGCCCTACTTTGCCAAGCGGAGGATGTGTCAGCCATCTCGTCAAGAATAGCACAAGCTTCATCATAAGGCAACTTCATGAAATTACCCCCAGCCAATTGATTCACTATGCATTGATTCGTTGTATTGATGCCCCGATAAAAGGTCTGTTGTATCATAGCCTCTGTCATACCATTGTTGGGGCATTCCTTCACCATAGTTCTATATCTCTCCCAGATCTCGTGCAATGGTTCGGTGGGCTCCTGCTTGAAGGCTAAGATCTCATCCCGTAATGCTACCATGTGCCCCGGTGAGAAAAATTTGGCAATGAACTTATCCGCCAACTCATCCCAAGTGGTGATGGAATGGTTGGGATGTCGCTCAAGCCAATCCAATGCCTTCCCTCTAAGTGAGAATGGGAAGAGCCTCAATCGAAGTGCATCCTCGGAAACATTGGTTTTCTTTCTCCCCCAACGGGTATCCACGAACCCCTTGAGATGTTTTTAAGCGTTCTGAGTGGGAGCATCCATGAAGTACCCACGCTGCTCCAACAATGTCAGCATCACGTTGCTTATTTGAAAATTGCCCGCCTGGATCCGAGGCGGAACAATTGCACTCGCATAGCCTTGGTTGGGAAGAACTCTAGGAGCCACTCTTGGAGGTGGCGGAGGAGGGTCTGGAATGTTTTCATTTGCATTGGCCTGACGACCTCTACGTTGTCCTTGAGGTACAAGAGGCACCTCATCCTCTCCATTGTCATCAACCTCCTCCCCCGCAATCACGTTTCCAAGAGGTTCATTAGCATTTAATGCCATTTTGTACCTGAAGTTGTGACACACCCAAATTAGTGACAAAGAAGGAAAGAAGAACAATACACAAAATTATTTAGATAGATAGCCAAAACCGTTAGCTCCCCGGCAACGGCTCCAAAAAGTGATCGGTTCCAACCCTGCACTACTATTGAGTAGCGAGAGAGGTCGAAGCAGCTTTTAACCGATTAAGGTCGGGATCGATTTTAACAGGGAGCTAGATATTGGAGTTGGGTGTCTATCTAAAGTGGAGTTTTGTATTTTCTCCAAATTGCACTTCTACACATTTTTGGTTTTGATTATGATTCTAATTTTATAAAACTACAATGCTCAATTAAACTAAAATAAGCTAGGGTTAAACTATTGCGAGTTGTTCAAATGATTAAAAGGCACTAGGGTAGTGACTTTCGCCTAGGTGGTCAATTGACGGATTCTTGAGTTTAAAGCTAGATTGTCACGTTTGGGGAGTATGATATAACCATTGCTCGATTCTACTCACTCTATACCTCTCGGTAGTTCGAGTGATTTTGCCCGAATTGACTTTCTCAAGACCAATTGGGTATGCAAATTTGCACAAGCAATTAAGGTTCAAGTTGGGTATTACTATCTCTAGGTTTAACCCTTTAATTGGGGCTATCAATCTCTTGAGTACGCTCCAATTCCTTGTTGGACCAATTTCAGAGACAGGCTCTCTTTCTCAAGAAGAGCCAAAGTCAACTAAACACAAATTAGTGTGTGCAACCACTAATTCACCAATTAACCATGAAATTAGTCCAAATATCAAACACCCATAGTCAATCAAGCCCTAAAACACAAGACCCATCAATTACCCACACTAGAGTTGGGCCACAACCCTAGCTGATGGGCCCAGCTACTCATAATTAAAGAGAAAAACAAAGAAATAGATGAAGATAAACTCATAATAATTAATTACTAAATAGAACTTGAAGATTCAATGGTGAAATTAAGATGAAATTACTCAAAATAGCAAAAGAAATGAAGTCACGAGCGCAGCTCTACGTACAAAACTATCTGATTGCCTAAAAATGGGAAAAGAATTTATTTATACTAGGCTAAAAATCTCGGACAAAAATACCCCTTCGGGGCTAGTGCGGACCGCACAAAATCAAGTGCGGCCGCACTAAGGCTGTTGACTTGAATATCTAGCTCTCTGAACTTGGGCAATGCGGACCGCACAAAGTCTAGTGCGGCCGTGGTGGCTTCTAGTGCGGTCCGCATGAAATAGAGCGCGGACCGCATTGGGCTTCAATCTTCAAACAGGCATCTCTCTGAACCTTGGCTCTGTGGACCGCACTAAATCGAGTGCGGCCATAGTGACTCCAACGCGGACCGTAGAAAATCCTTTGCGGCTGCATTGCCTTTTTGGCCTGAGATGCACACTCTCTGAACTTCACTTGTGCGGACCACACAGAATGGTGTGCGGCCGCATTGGCCCTATTTGACTGAGCTTTGTCTTGTCTTGGTACTTGTGCAAGTTTCACTCCTTTTTGAGCTGGTATTTGACACCTTGTCACCTTGTTGATCAGACCTGCAATCAAGCACAACTTGTGAGCCTTTGGGACTATTTTGTACACATTTCTAATCTAAACTTGAGCATGAAGGAGTGTAAAATGAATCATATTCCCTAGTTATCACCCATTGTTGTGGACCGCGAGGGGTGCCTAACACCTTCCCCTCAAGGTTATTTCGAGTCCTTACCCTAATCTCTGGTAATGCAAACTAGTTACATGAGTTAATTATTTTAGGTTCCCTAACGCACCGTAATCCGTTAGGTGGTGACTCTTCAAAATACCCACTTCCCAAAAAGAAGCGAGTTGATCCCCCATGAGTGTCGAAACCCGAACTTTCTCCGCGAGGAGGAAAAAAGGGGGTGTGACACCAGTCACAGTTCTTGTGGGAATCAAGTCATTATTTTCATTAACCACTACAATCATCCCCCCCCCCCCTGCTTCTTAGGCACACATTGGACAGGTCTTACCCATTTGCTATCAGAGATTGGAAATACAATACCTGCATCCAGCCACTTAATCGCTTCTTTTTTACCACCTCTTTCATGATTGGATTAGACGGTGTTGGTGCTCTACACTTGGCTTGTGCCCTTACTCCATGAGGATTTTATGCATGTAGAAGGTCTTACTAATGCCTCACGCAGCACTACTAAAAGCTTTTCTTCCTACAATTTAGACAAGTCAGAGGAAACAATAACAGGTAGAGTGTCAGAACCACCCAAATAAGCATATTGAAGGTGATGGGGAAAGGGTTTAAGTTCCAACTTTGGAGCTTCTTCAATCGACGGCTTTGGAGGAGGCCCAATTGTCCTATTTAGGGTCTCAAAGGGATCTAATCCCTGCATGTAGAAACATGATGCATCTAGTATATGCATCATCTCCTAAACTTCATCATCAATCTCCAAACTATCGAACAACATATGAGCTTTCTCTAGAGAATCGTCTAGATATACACTCGTGTTGATAAGTTGCTCATCCACCTCCACAACAGATACAATAGAAAGCTCATCATAATGGCGGGGAAGGTGGATCGCCTTGTAAACATTAGAAATTGCTTCCTCGTTGTCAACCCTCATAATCATATTTCCCTCTCTCACTTTAATAATTGTATCACTTGTAGCCAAGAGAGGTCGTCCCAATATGATTGGAACTTGTTCATCAGCCTCATAATCTAGGATAATGAAGTCTGATAGGAAGATAAATTTCCCAATTTGCAGCAACACATCTTCAATCACTCCTTCAGGGTAGGCTATGGATCTATCACCTAGCTGCAACATCACAGTGGTTGGTCTTGGAGCTCCCAGACCCAATTGCTTGAACACGGACAAGGGCATCAGATTTATGATCGCCCCCAAAGCACAAAGAGCACGACCCATATCAATATTACCAATCCGCACATGGATGGTGAAGCTGCTAGGGTATTTAAGCTTTTAAGGGAGTTTGTTTTGGACCCTCGAAGTGCACTCCTCAATAAGTGCAACTGTCTCGAATTCAATCAATTTCCTCTTGTGAGCCACTATATCTTTGATGTACTTAGCATATTTTGGAATTTCGTGAAATACATCCACCAATGGAATATTCAATTGAACCTGGCTCAACATAGAGAGAAATTTATTGAACATGTGATCATCATTCTTCTTCTGTAATCTTTGGGGGAAATGTGGTGTTGGCCTTGCAACATTCACTGGCTCTGAACTTGCATCATCTTTCTTTGACTCGTTTGTTGCCTTAGGAATCAACTCCCCCTCAGGTATAGGCTTATCCCTTCTCTTCTTTGGAGCTTCTTCTAATTCCCTCCCGTTTCTGAGTGTGACTGCTTTAACTTGAGGGTTCTTCTCTGTATCATGGGGAACGCCTGCAGGCCTAGTATTTTGATTTGACGCTAACTGCCCCATTTGTCTCTCAAGATTTTTGAAATCAGTCCTGAGTTGTTGATTGTCAAGCAACAACTTCTTCAACAAGTCATTCGTACTCTCTTCTACTTGTTGGGGTGGCATCTGAGGTTGATTAAAATTTCCTTGGGGCCTATAATAATTCTGAGTCATCTGATTTCCACCCCAAGAGAATTTAGGTAGATTCTTTCGATTTGGGTTGTAAGTGTTCCTATATTGTGCATGCTGATTTATCAAACCTCTGTTCTGTCACCCTACATAGTAGATAGATTCAAGATTCATGGGGCACATGTCACTCGTGTGACTGTCACCACATAATTCGTAGCAAGTAGACATCTATTATACATGTTGTATCTGTTATATTTGGTGCATTGTCATTCTAATTATCTGATTTGCTAATTTTGCTATATCTGCTCTCATAGCTGAGAAGTCATCAAGCTCAATTACACTGGCTGCTTTCTGTTTAAGTGCTCTTCGTGGTTCCCTATCTCCTTGCCAATTGTTATTATTAGAAATGAAGTTTTTTAGCAGGAGTTGGATTTCACTATACGGACTTGCCATGCAACTTGTCCCATAAGCTGAGTCAAGATTCATCTTTGATGTCTCGTCTAACCCATCAACGGAAGTGTGACCCAACACCTCATCAGTCTGACAGTGATGTGGGCAGTCTCTGAGTAGCTTCTTGTATCTTTCCCAAGCTTGACGAAGAGCCTCTCCATCCCGTTGTTGGAACCTAAGAATCTGGATCCTAAGCGACTTTGTCTTCTTAGTGGGAAAAATCTTGATTAAAAATTTTCTTGCTAGATCATCCAAGTGTGGATCGAGTTCGCGAGCTCCATTTGCAACCATTCTTTAGCTTTCCCCAGCAGTGAAAAGGGGAACAGTGTCATCGTGACGTAGTCCTTGGAAACGTTTGGATAATTGTAAGTATCCGTAATTTCCAGAAAGTTCTGAATGTGCCGCTGCAGATCTTCATGAGATAGACCCACATATTGACATGTGGACTGGATCAACTGTACTATGTACTGTTTGAGTTCAAAGTGTCCCATGATATCGGGCTCCACAATAGCATGAGGCATATTAGCAAGATTGGGCCTTGCAGCTTCTATCACTAGACGCTCTTCATTACCTGCCTTCTCTAGTGGTTGTGGTTGAATTACGATGTCCAACTCTCTTTCTATTCTAGTTCTAGCTTCGACTTCCCTCCTCATCCTGTGAAGTGCTCATTCAATTTCAGGATCAAGAGGAAGGAGGTTGTTTGCGCTTCTACTACTCCTCATTCAAGAGAAGAGACTCTGTTAACACAAACAAGGCAAACTGAAAATTAAAACTTGAACAAATAATTAATAAAAGCATAACTCAAACAAGTAGCTAATTCCTAAGTCCCCGTCAACGGCGCGAAAAACTTGTTGCAACCAAACACGCACACGCAAGTATACGTGGTCGTCAAGTAATAAAATAGTGAGTAGAGTATCGTTCCCACGAAGATTTATGATTAACTTTTGACTGATTCAAACTCAAACAACTTATCGATTCAAGAGATTTTTCATGTGATGTGTAAGTAATTAGTTAACTACCAAAGAAACTATCAAGCAATGAAATAACTAGAGATAGACTACAACACTTAGGCAATTTCGGATAAAAATCAGTAGGAGAGGATATTCCAGGGTCATAGGCTAGATAACAATCTTGTTCCTTCTTCGCTTAAACTGACTAATTGTTTTGTCTGGTTTATTGATTGACAGGGTTGATGTTACTCGTAAGAATTTGTCGAGTTCTTACTCGCCTATTCAAGCTAACTTAGTACATATATGTATACGGAATTAAGACTAATAAGAACGCATTTATACTTCCTGTATCTCAACCAAGCAAGACAATTAGGTATATTTCTATCCTAACTGCAAATCCATTCCCTGATGCCCGGGTTCAAGAACTTGCTCTATTTAATCCTATATGCAATCTAGAATTCCAACTTTCGAGTTCAACTCTAGATTTGTAAGTAGTATTTCACTGTTAGCTACACAGCAAAATAATTAAGAATAGAATTAAATAAACAACCCAATATGATAAAATCAAACTCGTCAATTTAAAATCCAAACGTCAACATTCATGTAGCACCCATGACCCCAGTATAACAAGGTTCTTAGCTACTCATATTCATGCAATCATCAAAAATAATGATTTCAAACATAATTTCAATAAACACTAGAAGAAGAATGGAAGAATTGATCAAATTCGTGCTCCCGAGTGTTTCTTACTTTTGTTCCTCTGTCAAATTAGCCTCCTCATCCCCAAAATAGGTTTAGGTTGGTTTTTATATGAGTTGGGGGCGTCTTGAGTCAAAATAACCAAGTCCAAATCGAAATACGACAACTTTCACGTCACCAGCGCCTAGGGTAACGTGGGGCGCTAGCCCTGGAGGTGGGTTTTTTAAACATTCTATTTTGTGCGCCACACACTGCCTGTGGCGCTATAATGTGCACTTTTTCCTTTTCTTCCCGTTTTCGCTCCAATTCTCACAACTTCATCCCAAATTGCATTCGGATGATTCCTACACATAAAAATACCCCAAATTAGCACAAATCATTATAGTACACTTCCGAAATCTACGATACATGAGCAAAATGCGAGGCAATATACACAAAAAACATGCATACTTTAAGCCGAATATCATATACTTCAACAAAAGACAGATTCAAGGTAGAAGTGATATGACAAGAGATTAAGAGCTAGGTCAAGGAGTCAATAGAGATCAAGGTCGAGGACGAGCATCCTTTTTAAACGGAGTAATAATGACTAGTTTTAGGATAAGACTTTAAATAGAATATTCCAATGAATATTCTCTGGATCTGTACTGTTACGGTTTTGTGGCACATGTCCCCTTATAAATAGAAAGAGACATAGTTTTAGGGGACGTTGAATACTCATTTGTAGAAGAACACTTTGAGATTCTCTAGAGATTCTTTCTTTATTACATACATACAAAATACACCTTTTTTCTTGAGATCCATGTCTAGTCGTTCCCCCACGATCCAAGGAGAATCCGAATATTCAAAGGCTCGTCAGTTATTTGTCAGTGTCAGAAGGAACACTACACGATTCCATCCCATTTTTCGGTCAAATCTATTACATCTATTTACATAAATACCATCATACGTCATTTATTGTTATTTAATGCTAGTTATGTCGTATTTACGCCATAAACATTGTTCATTGTATTTACGCCATAAACATTGTTCATTATCGTATATTCATCATTGTTACCACAGATCTTGTAATATTTTGTCACGGCACTAGTTAAATAATCTAGTGGATATTATAATTTGCTAAGATTAACCCTACCTTGTTAAGAAAATTTAATTGTTAAACCTAGATCTAAATTTTGGTCAATGTCACGACCCGGCCGGTCGTCTCATGAGTTACTGCTCTGTTTCCCCCATTTCTGCTTCTATTTGCTTTAATTATCGGTTTTATATGTGATTGGGTTGGTTGGTTCGGGTTCGGAAAGGTTTTGAGAAGGTTTGAGACACTTAGTCTCTTTTAAGAAGGCTTAAGTTGGAAAAGTCAACCGGATGTTGACTTCTGTGTTAGAGGGATCGAATGTGAGTTCCGATGGTTCGGATAACTTCGAGAGATGATTTGGGACTTAGGAGTGTGATCAAAATGTGTTTTGGAGGTCCGGAACAGATTTAGGCTTGAATTCGCGAAATTGAGTTTTTGGCGCTTTCCGGTTGATAGGTGAGACTTAGATATAGGGGTCGGAATGGAATTTCGAAAGTTGCAGTAGCTTCGTTAGGTCATTAGGATGTGTGCGCAAAAATTTCAGGTCATTCGGACGTGGTTTGGTATACTTTTTTGATCAAAAGCGGAATGCGGAAGATTTTAGAACCTTAGGCTTGAATTCGATGTGTTTTGGTGGTTTGTATGTTGTTTGAGGTGTTTTGAAGGTTGGTATAAGTTTGAATAGTAGTATGTGATGTGTTTGTGCTGTTGGTTGAGGTCCTGGGGGCCTCGGGGTGATTTCGGATGGTTGACGGAAGGTTTGGAATTAAGTTGGAGAGCTGAAGTATTTTTGTTACTGTCATAACCGTATCTGCGGTTAAAGGATCGTAGGTGCGACCCCGCAGATGCGGATGAGGCCTAGGAAGGCTATGACCGCAGAAGCGGTTGATTGACCGAGCCTGCGATGGCGCAGGTGCGGAGAGGACGTCGCAGATGCGGAAATGGTCGAGTAAGTGAAAACTGTAGGTGCGGCCACTGGGACCGCAAAAGCGGTCACGCAGGTGCGACTTCTGGACCAAACAGGTGCAAAAAGCCTGGGTTAGAATGGTTATATTTCCTCCTTCGCGATTTTCAGAGGGTTTCTTTACTTTTAAACACGAATTTTGGAGCTTTGGGCGATTTTGAAGAGAGAAATCATGAAGACATCATTGAGGTAAGGTTTTGGATTATGAAAACTCATTTTTATGGTATTAATTCGCGGATTAGAGCTGTAATTAAGGGCAAAAATTAGAGAAGTTAGGGCTTAGAAACCTAAGCCTTTGATTGAGGATTTGAAAGACCATTTGTGGTCGGATTTTGGAACTTTTGATATGTATGAACTCGTGGGGAGATAAGGAATCTAATGACGTAAAATTTATCAAATTCCGAGATGTGGGCCCAAGTGTCGGGTTTTGGTAATTTCGGGATTTGCATGGTTTTTTGATTATATTCGAGTGGGCTTTGTCCCTTTAGCATATTTTGACGATTACATTCTGATTTTGGTAGATTCGGAGCATCCGGAGGCCAATTCGAAGGGCAAAGGCATTGCGAGCTAGAGTTTGGGCCAGATTGAGGTGAGTAATGATTTTAAATGCTGTCCTGAGGGTATGAAACCCCGGATTACACATCGTTCGGCTATGTTGAGGTGACGCACACGCTAGATGACGACCGTGGGGTCGTGCACCGTTGGGGATTGGGACTTAGTCCATCCCGAATGACTGTTTTACTGCGTATATGATAGCTAATTGTTTGATATTATTTTATTTTGGGCTAAATGTTATATTTGGGCTTCGTGCCAACTGTTTGAACCCTTAAGGGATTTTTACTGATATTTTCCTCACTATTTGATTTCACATTTGTGCTCAGTCATGCCATATTTTACTGGTTTCAAAAACTCAGCTATGTTATTCTGTTTTAAACACTTTAAATGATATTTTTAAAGATGTTTTTGAGCTGAGCTTCATATCTTATTGTTGCCCGAGGGGCTTATGAGATTCTGACTGAGTAAGGCCGAAGGCCTGTATTGTGAGGATACTTATGGGTCGGGCTACATGCCGCAACAGTGTATACTGATTATGATAATGATGAGGCCGAGGGCCTGAGATTGTACGCCACGAGGTGGCTTGTTATTGGTATGAGGCCGAGAGCCTGTTTATGATGCCACGAGATGGCTTTATATTGCGCTTGGCCGTAAGGGGCCCCTCCGGAGTCCGTACACCCCCAGTGAGCGCGGGTACCCATTGTAATATGAGATATAGCCCGAGGGGCTGGTATTCTTCTGTGATATTGCCCGAGGGGCTGATTCTGTTGTTGTTACTGAGCCCCAGGGGCAGTTGTTGTGTATTTACCTTTCTAGTTGTTTTTCCTAGACATGTTTAACTGCTTAAAAGCTGTTTTTATGAAATTTCACTGTGTAATTGTGTTTAGTGATTTTGTTCTGCCTCTTATAGCTTATTGTTGTGTTTAACGTGATTTTATATTGCTCAGTCTTCATTTATTGTTATTACTCACTTAGTTGGAGTAGTCACTTTACTCCCTGCACCCCTGTGTGCAGATTTGGGCGCTACAGGTCCTGCTACTGAGGGTTGATAGTTTCCAGCAGGTCTTCGGAGAATTACTAGGTAGCTGCTTGGCGATTCGCAGCCCAGTGCATTCTCCCTCTATTTTATTTCCCTTTTGATTCACTGATGTAGTAGTGGATTAGACTTTCAGACTGTAGTATTGTTTTAGATGCTCATGACTGGTGACACCCCGATGTCAGGCGGTGTTGGTTTTTTATTCCGCAACTTATACTGTTATTTTGGGATTTTATTTCTATTATAGACTTAGTATTTATTTATTTAATTGCTTAAAGTGAATTGGAAGTGTGTCGGCTGACCTTGTCTTCACGAGAGGCGCCATCACGATCGGGTTTGGGTTTAGGGTCGTGACAAGTTGGTATCAGAGCCAGGTTACATAGGTCTCACGAGTCATGAGCAGGTTTAGTAGAGTCTGGTAGATTGGTACGGAGACGTCTGTATTTATCCTCGAGAGGCCGCAGAACCTTTGGGAAAATTCCATATTCTTGAAATTCTTGTCGTGCGAATTTGTTGATCCGAGAACTAGGCTTCTGTTATTCTACTCTCTCACAGATGGTGAGAACACGGGCTACCGGTCAGGATGGACGACCACCAGTACCACCAGCTGGAGCCACTAGAGGCCGAGGACGTGGTCGAGGCCATGGTAGGGGTAGAGGTGCATCCCACACAGCAGCTGGAAAAGCACCTGCTCATCCACCAGCCGCCCCAGTTCAGGAGCAGGTCCCAGTTGTGGACACTCCAGCAGCACTAGCTCAGGCACCAGCTGTGCCCATTGTGATTCCGGGTCTTCAGGAGACTTTGGCCAAGATTTTGACAGTATGTACGAGTCTTGCTCAGGCAGTCGCGGTCTCTACTGCCGCAGCCACTTCTCAAGCAGGGGGAGGCTCTCAGACTCCTGCCGCCCGCACACCCGCTCCGGTAGTTTAGGGAGTGCAGACACTGGAGGCACCACTAGCCCAGGCAGTGGTAGCTGCTCAGGGTTACGTAGCTCCAGTTATGCCAGAGGATGAGCAACACAGATTGGAGAGGTTTTGCAGACTCCAGCCTCCTACTTTTAGTGGTGCTGAGGGCGAGGATGCCTAGGGTTTCTTAGACAGATGTCAGAGGATTCTTCGCACTGCGGGTATTCTGGAGACCAGCGGGGTTGCATTCACGACCTTTCAGTTTACCGGAGCTGCCTTCACTTGGTGGGAGGCATATGAGAGGTGTAGGCATGTTGGTTCGACACCTCTGACTTGGAAGCAATTCTCCGCTCTATTTTTGGAGAAGTATGTCCCACAGTCCCGCAGGGAGGAGCTGCGTAAGCAGTTCGAGCAGTTACGACAGGGGGAGATGACTGTTACTCAGTACGAGATGAGGTTCTCAGAGTTAGCTCGACATGCCATTTGGCTGGTTGCTACGGAGAGAGAGAGAGGATCAGGAGGTTTGTTGATGGCCTCACCTACCAGCTTCAAGTTCTCATGACTAGGGAGAGAGTGTCAGGTGCTACGTTTGAGGAGGTTGTGGATATTGCTCGTGAGATTGAGTCAGTTCGTCGCTAGGAGCGCGAGGAGAGGGAGGCCAAGAGGCCCCGTGGTCATGGTAGTTATGGGGGTGCTCCTTCGAGGGGCCAATTTCGGCACAGCAGAGGCCGTCAGTTCAGGCATGCTCAGTCAGCTCGCCCAAGTTATCGTGGGGCATCATCAGGCCATGGTTCTCACGGTTCTCAGCA